GTGTTAGGGTTATTCCTGGTTGATACCACTGGCATCCCAAGTTCTCTGTTTACTAATGTGTGGACCATCAGGCAAGCATGTCCTGCAGCTACATTTCCAACTGAGGAACAATGAGAACATTATTGAAGACCCTTTTTGTTCCTGCAGGTGGTTTACTCACTTTTATGTGGTTTCTGTGCTCTGGAACGGCTTTCTGCTGATTTGGCTTTTCCAAGTTGAGTTCCTTGGAGGGTCGCTCCCATCATGGATTCAGCATATGCACCATGCACTTGGCAGAGATTCTCAGAGTGAAGACACGGGCAAGTATTCTAGCTATTATGATGCAGCTGTATAAATATGAGAAAGCTGCACTACCATCCTTGTGTATTCTTCAAGTGCTACTTCATGAGCTGTTTTTAAGCTAGGCTCCAAGTGACCAAGTGACTTTCCTGGAATACCAAGTCCCTTTGTCATTATTCAAGGTAGAACTCATTCTAGTTTATGGACATGATGGGTTTCAGGAGTCCTTTTAGCAGAAAGGGCCATTAGCACCTTCTAGAAGTAATCTTGCTGTGCTCAGGAGTGCTTCACATGTACAGATTTTTTTTCTCCAGTGCTCAGTTAATTTAAAAAGAGGGGAAAATTTTGCTGTGGGGAGGGAAAAAAAATAGCCTTTTTGAACCACTCTCAGGTTTAAATTGTTCCTATCTGTCTCAAAGGTGCTATTTTTTATCTGCAAGCAGATACCCAGCACTTCTCTGTGTTCATGGTTCTCCTGCTTCTTTGGCTGCACAGCTGTCGAAGACTTGCAGAATGCCTCTGGACCAGTGTGTTTTCTGATGGTGTCATTCATATTGTGCAGTATTGCTTTGGACTTGCTTACTACATTGCCATTGGCTCGACTGTGCTATGTCAAGTGCCTACTAATATCAGGAATGGTAAGTGCCTGCTTAATTATTACCAAATATGTAGTTTTGCTCCCATTTGTTTCCACTGTGACAAATGGTTTTGTTGAGGGCTGCTTGTGTGAAGAAGTGTGTTAACTGATGACATGTAGAAATACTTACTGGCATAGTTCAAAGTAACTACATTACAATGTATCACATAAATCAACCAGCATTACACACAGAGACACTGACACACACTTGCATGCTAACCATCACAGTTGTTTCCTGAAAGATATCTCAGGTGAGTACTTTCAGGATCATTACATTTCAGGATCAAATCAGTTTTGCATTGAGATACATCTTTTTTATGAAGGACAGTAATAGGAACCAGTTCTCAAATGTCACTACAGAACTTCAGGTCTCAAAGTGGGGTTTGATTTTTGCTGTAAGCTTTCCTAAAAGGTGAGTCTGCAAGGCCGTCTTGGCCACATCCTTTGTATTCCACTGAGAACTCGCCACTGCTCTGCCTTGCATCAGTCAGGCTTTTCTTTCTCTCAGTACTGTAATGTCTCCAGTAATACAACAGAAATTTGAATTACATTACTCGTTTCTGCCAAAACATTCCACTGACTCTCACAATTGAGCTGCTGTTCCCCTGCATGGAGGAACCACAAGCTGGTTGTAGCACTTTTATGACTAATTTTTCTTAGGTGGTCACTACCAGGTATGTAACTTCAGTGAAACTTTTAATCACTTCAACCACATCAGCTCTAGTTTAATCCAGTCATTTTATTTAAAGAACCTTCAGATCTCCTTTGTGTAGATAAAGCCTTTTTCTTTCTGGACCTGTCTTACACTTTTCACATCTTGTGGATTCTTAGAGATGATGCATTGGCTTGTACATTGGGAATCATCCTTAATGCAGTTAACTTTTTTTTTAAGGCATAAATGGTTACTCTCTCTGTGTGCATGCATGGTGCGTAGGTGTATCTATGTATACATCTCATGGTGAACAAGACAAACAGCCGAGTGCTTACATGTTGACCTGAGCCATGGCAACATCTTTAATTAGGGTCATATGAATTACAGTGTTGAATATTGAGGTCTTACACTATCAGTTATGTGCCTCACATGTACAAATATTTTCCCCAGTGAAATGTTCCCCCACTGCCCCAGTTGTATGTTGTGCTGTACCTTAAGCCACTGGATTAAAACCAAGATATTTTTGGTATAGAGCGGTTAAAGGAAATTAACTGCCAGCCGAGCATTTAAATGATGCAGGATTATAAGCATCTTTCAAGGGATTAGAGGCCCACTACTAGAATTTTGTAAGGCTGTAACATTTAAAAAATATCAGCAATGTTTGGGGATGATGCTTGGGAAGGTATTTCCTGGCCAGATATTATTGAAATCTCTTTTTCAGGAAAAGAATTTTCTGCGCAGATCTGCTGGTATCACATCATAGGAGTTACAATGTATATTTGGGCCTCTCTTCACCAACACAGATGCCTTGTGATTCTAGCTAATCTTAGAAAAAGTAAATCGGGTAAGATGTTTCATTTCTGCCAATCATTTACTTAGGTCATTTTCCCCTGCTTGTTTCAGTAGGCTTCTACAGCTTCTAGTACCTTACAGCATGAGTATTTCTCAGTTCCTGTAGTGTGGTGTTCTCTAGAAAACTTTCAGTAGATCAAACGAGGCTATTTGGAAAAGAGATCAGATGGCTGAATGAGGGTTGGGTGTGTCAGTGTATATAGTTCTGTAGAACTCAAAATGAAGGTCTAGCTCTAGTACTCTTAAGGGCAGACACATGCTAATGCTTAGGACTTGTGCTGTTCCTCGAGGACCTCAATTCTGTCTCCATGTGAGCTAAAAATAGGTTTCCTTACTCTGTGCAAACAGCCAGAGGTGGCATCTTATTTCATTAGGAAGCACAAAGCTGCCAGATCAGATGGAGGTGGATGGTGATGATAACTTTAATAAGCATGTTGTTCTGTAATTATGAGTAGAAGAGAAAGGTTTCTTTAATGCATGTTTTTCTCCACTACTTTCTGTTTGCTTGCAGGAAAGATTGTAAGTCTGGACCACAGTGTACCTTTTGGAGACTGGTTTGAGAGAGTTTCTTGCCCTCACTATTTTGCAGAGGTCCTTATATATGTATCTATGGCCATCACGCTTGGACTTCACAATGTGACGTGGTGGTGTGTAGTGATGTATGTTCTTTTTAACCAGGCACTGGCTGCGGTTTTGTGTCACGAGTTCTATCAGAAAAACTTTAGCTCCTACCCAAAGCATCGAAAAGCATTTATACCGTTTGTTTTCTAGATGATTTCTTCTCAAGTGTCTTTAGTACAAACTGGGAAATGTTTCCTTTAAGGAAATAAGAGATGTATGGCTTGCTAAAGCCAAGGTAAAACTGCACATTTTCTCTAGTTCTAGCTTAAAATCTCATCCACGTTACCAGTTTTGGGTGGGGAAATGTAAGGTCTCTGCTTATCAAAAGAACTAAAATGAAATTACCAAGGACCTTATTTTAAACTCGAGAAATGCTAATTGACTCTTTTCAGTTTTATAGTTATCTCTTATGCGTAAAACACTTGCCATTGTGCAGGAAGCCCAAATACATATATGTGAAAACTGTTGTGAAAGAAGGGTGCAGGGAATAATGTGAACTACTGTATTTCATGTCTTGCCTAGTATTTAAGCATATGTTTTCCTAATCTCTTCTTCTGAATCACTTCAGAGGGAGGCAAATTGTGTCTCTTTCTGTGCTTCCCTGTTGATAATTAAAACCAGCCACTGCTTTATAACTGCAAGCACAGAAACCGGTGGAGAAAGCTGCAGTGGAGGAATGACTCATGCTAAGCAGTGGAGGTAAACAGACCCATTCTCTGTGTTCTGTCTTCTGCACTGAAGTGTTTTCGTTCATTGGTGAAAACCTGTTTATTCCTAAACTGGAAAAATCATGGAAGGTGCTCTTTAGAGAGACAGTAGAAGAGAATTTGCAGAGAAGTAAGGTTCCTGGTTATGGTTGTTATCCTTTTAGTGGGTTATTGGAATCCCTAGTATGTTAGAGGGCGCAGTCATGCAGGATTACCATACCCACGACTTCACTGGTTTTTAAACAGCCTGTGAGAGCAGATGTAATGAACTGCTGAAGCAAAGAACACACAGAAACCAGTACTTGACAAGTGGTGCAAAGAAGTTCTTTACTGGGGACATGTTGTTGTTCAGCGCAGGGTTTCTTTGGAGTTAATCACTGAATATTTCAGTGCTTTTCATGATACTGAATCTGTTTGCATGATGTAGCATATGGATGCTGTTGTTTCAGCAGGTTTTCTACTTACATGAGTGTATAATTTTGTATATGAGAAGAATTTTTATATACTAAAGTATATCAAATGAGTTATTTAATTAAACCAGTTTATTACACATTCTGTTCTGTGTAGTTTTGCAAAATTGAGTGGTGTATTTACAAAACATGAGCAGTTACTTTTCACAGAATGCTGGGCCTCTCTTGGCTCCTGTGCCCCTCTCTCCATCAACTCCATAGCTTAAATTCACCACGCAGCATAAACAGCCCTGTCTGGGGAGCTCTTCTTTCCGTATTGGGATTTATTTTTAGCAATTCGCCTGCCTCCAATCATCTGTTCTACTGGCGTTCTTCATCCCGTTTACTGGACAGTCAGTTGCATCCTGGGGATCATGGTCCTGGCCTTGCCCCGGGGAGAGAGAGCATCAGGCTCACAGACACCCAAAGCATTGCTTTGTACAGGGGCTTTTAGACACCTGGGTGAGCTCAGGCCATTTCTGTGCGGCAATTTTCCCTTCTTACGCATCCGTTCTGGTTCCCGTCTCTCAGCGCGCTTTCCTGCCTGCAGGCAACTCCAAACGGAGAGAAGGACGCGCGCCTGGAATAGTCCGGGAAAGCGGCACAGCCGTCCTGCCCGGCCCCTCCTGGCGCCGAGAGCCAGCGCAGGGGACAGAAGCTAACACGGTGGTGGTCTGTATCACCTCAGCGGCCCCGGGCCCACAGGGGGCCGTCACAGGCGGCGGTCGTCCGCCCTCTCGGGCGGGCCGGAGGGCGGGGCGTCCTTCAGCGGCTGCCGCAGCCAATTGGCGCGCAGGGTCCCGCCCCTCCGGGCCGGGCCGTTGCAGGAAGCGGTTGGGGGACGGTTGCGGGGCCGCGCGGTCGGGACGTTGCGGGCAGGGTGATGACGCGGCGCCTTTAAAGGGGCCTCGTGCGGTGCGTGTGTTCCCTCGACCCCCACCGCGCCGCCGCGCTCGGCAGCCATGGCCTCGCCGCCGACCCCGCTCCCACGGGCCGCGGCGCTGCTGTTGGCGGCAGCTCTGCTGCTCCTGACCCCGGCAGGGCTGCGCGCCGCTCCGGAGGAAGAGCCTGGCAGGAAGAAGGAGCCGCCGCCACCGCCGGCGGCGCAGGGAGCCGAGCCGCGAGTTGAGGTGAGGCGGGGACGGGCCGGGCCGTGCCGGCCGCCCGCGGGACGCCCCCACCTTCAGCCGGGCCCCGGGCCGTCAGGTCAGCCCCCGCGGCAGCACAGCAGGCGGGGCGGGCCCGGGCTGCAGGGCGCTTCCCCTGTGGAAGGCCATGGGACTCCTGCTTTCCCGCCCTTTAGCACAAAAAGAGGGAATTTAGGTCCGATACGAAAAATGGGCTAGTGTTGTTTTCACCAGATAGGTATTTTGTGCCTTGCTTGCTTGCATGCTGGGGAGGAGGAGGAGGAGGGGAACCGACCTTTACAGGTCTTCCTCACAGGAGCAGGTGAAAACAAGCTGTGATGTGACTCAAAACCTGCCAGCTTTTCCTGAATATTTAAGACTAATTTCTTGACGTTAAAACTTTTTAAATGGTGGTTTTGGTTAGGACATTCTGGTGTCTGGTGAACACGTAGGGGGGTGGAAAAATCACTAACATATGGCTTGATCTGGCATGTAGGGCATGTCAAGTTTTAAATATCAAACCCCCAAATTTACATCACTGCTAAAGGTGAAGGAACTCTGGGAAGCTGCTCTCTATTACATAGAGCATGGAAACTTGACTACCCAACCCAAAAACTCTTAAGACGCGGAACGCTGGGAAGTTACCATGTTAAAACACGTTGTAATCTGTCTCTGCTGGTAGCCGTGCTGAACGAAGCTGGCTTAGCCATCTCTGGGCAAACATGGGAACACCAACTTCCTTGTTCTGAGTCTTGCTTTTGATGGTAGATACCTTAGCCTCTGTAAAAGTAAACACTTTAGTAAGTGACATGGGGAGTGCGCCAGTCTGGTTTGACCACTGGAAGTCTTAAAGCTGGTTTTCTATGAGCATAGAGTATGTAAAAAAAAACCCAAACCAACCAACCAACCAAACAAAAAAACTAATGAAAACCTTCACAAAATTTTAACGTGGCTGAGATGCAAGATTGTGTGAGGGAAGAAAGTGACTCTAACAGGTTTTGAAAGTACTTTGTATTTCTCTTAAGTTAACCATTGTCACCCAGTTTTAGTTTGAAGAGTTTAATTCTCAGTACTTATACCTGAAAACTGCTTGTTTGGTTAAGGTAATAAACAGCCAGGAGTTCTGAAGACAGCAATATTAGAACTGAACTAAAGCAGCTTTCCCCATGTTTTGTTGTAATAGTGGTTCTCCTGGTAATAGTGTGCATGGTGAAGTACTGTTTTAATCAGCAGTGCACGACCTGCTCTGCTTGCAAAGTGCCTAAATAGCAATTTGAGGTAGGTTGCAGCCAGTAACTAGTTAATGATCATTAGTGCTGCATGAGAGGTGTGTACTTAAAATGTCACACTACACAGCGTGGTATGACAGGAGAGATACCAGGCTCTGAACTTTATGGGCTGCTGCAGCCTATTAATTAACTAGTGGGTTTTTTGTTGTTTCCCCCTCGCCTACAGAAGGGGTCCTCGCTGGTTGCTCCCGTTCACATTGTCAATGAAGAGTCACCTGACAAGACTAATTTGGGCTTTATTCATGCATTTGTGGCTGCTATATCGGTCATCATCGTGTCAGAACTGGGGGATAAGACCTTCTTCATTGCAGCCATCATGGCAATGCGGTACAACCGTTTGACTGTACTGGCTGGTGCTATGCTTGCCTTGGGACTGATGACATGTTTATCAGGTTAGCACTCTTTTCTCTTTGTTTCATCTCTTAAGCTGTGTTGGGTACATGTTTATCAGTAAATCTTAATTGAAGCTAAAGTGAAGGTAGTAGGTATATGCACTTCCCTGGTTTTAGGAGAGCGTGAAGGTTTTCCTGGAGACCATGGCTCAGATTGAGTATTTAGGCTCTTACGTCTAATGAGGTGTATGTGCTCCCTAGACCTCAGTATGAGAGTAAGAAAGAGGAATAGGAGTGGGAGCTTAAGCACTTCCTTGATTCTGGGGCCACTGGTTTCTGTTAATTTTTAGCTCCTGTTAAATTGGTGTGCCTAAAGGAAATGTAGGAGTGACTTCTGGTTTTCCTCCTCAGGCAAAAGATTCTTAATATGATGACAAATTTCCCTCGTCTGACTTGTATCCCTGTACATGTAGTTGCTTGGATTTGTGCTGGGAGCTGCTTAGGTGGAAGATGATATTCTGCCACAATCCTTCGGGATGGGTGGTACTGACAGATCCAAGAACTGGGGGGGAACTGAGGTATGAGGTGGCACTTGAGGAACCTGTAGCTCTGGGTATTTACCTAGCTGTAATTATAAAATAGAGCAGCCTTCAGGTACATCAGATGCAGCATAAATTTTATTGTGTATGTGCTGATGTCTGAATAATTAAAGTAGAGTTTGTGGAGATGGCCAGTTAACTGGCTTCAGGCTTCTTGGCAGGTGTTTCTGTGAATGTGTTTGGGTGTGTAGCTATCATTATATATACTGCTGCAATTATTGCAGTCTTGGAGCAGCTTCCATGTGCACTGTGTGTAATGATAGCATTGTATGAGTTTCTTCTGTTATTCACTTAATGCAAGTCTTTGAATCTTCTTCTACTTCTGCACTCCTTGCTTCATTAAAGTTATTTAGTACCACAGGCAATGTGCTATTCGTAAATTGTGTGATCTCTTTTCCTCCTGCCCGTTATGGCTCTCCCTTTTTCTATACTTTCGTCAAATCTTTCTTGATGCTTTTTCATAAAGCTTTGTTTTCTGCTTTTTCCTCTGGTTTATATGTGCCCAACTATTTCTCCCTTCTCAGAAAGGAGCTTTTTCCCCCCTTCCCTTCCCGACTCCTTGTTTTGTACAAGCTGTGTTTGGAAATTCCGGGGGGGTTTGCCCACTCTGATTTCATGAAAATATCCTCACTTAAACTCACTCCAAGTAGTCACTACTTGGGGTGTTTTTTTTTCAAGCTGTGCTTGTCAAAATAAGCTGCCTTGCTGTTCTGCTTATTTAATTGTGTCTGTGCTCATATATGTAAGTAATGCTAAACAAATCTTTTATTTGCATTGCTTTACTTTAGTGTTTTCAATCTTCAAAAAGAAGCTTAGTTTAACTCCTGGTTTATTTAGCTGTGCAACTAATACTGTTATTCATATATGTATGTGTTGTGTTTGTAATAGTACAACTCGATCAGTTTTGGTCTTACAGTCTTACTTTTGGTGGTAGCTGTGTGAATTAATGTTCAGATTATGTAGTAACTTAAGCGCATTTTCTAAGTATGTATGCAAGAAAACACACATGGTAATATGGAATCATAGAATAGTTAGGGTTGGAAAGGACCTTAAGATCATATGCTTCCTTTTAGCTAATTGCATGTAGAATAAAACAGAGACAGTTGTGACTGCCTGGTCCAAGCAACCTTGAAGGTTAGGTGTGGAGTTTTAATTTCTTCTTGCTTATGCAGGCCTTTTTTGCCAAAAAAATGGTAACTAGTCTTACTTTGTGAAGAAGTAAGTACTTTGTTCTCTTCCTATTTGAGAACTAGTTTTGGCTTAGTTTGATTACCTTCAATACCCATAACAGTAGGTAAACCATGGAGGTAGCTTTTTGGTCTTTGAGTGGGATCAGTGCTTTTAACTTAAAAGAAGATCAAAGTGTGCTCATGGGGAGCATGGGAGAGATGGGAATAGTAACGTGCAGGTATTTCCACTTGGCAAAAGAAGACAGATGTGGATTCATGCAGCTGCATGGCTTGTGAATATGACTAGTAGGCTTGTAGAAAAACTTACCCGAAGTTTATCAGGTAAATAAAAAGATTGCGAAGAGATGCTATCTAACATGTAGCCATATAAAGAAAATGGTATACTGGTATACACTGCTATACACCATGACTAATGTAATATGTTTACAGATGATAGTTTCACGGCATGCTTGGAGGAAGGCAGGACTTGGGTAGTCTTTGATGGGAATGATGTTGCTGGGACTGACTCTTTGGAATAGCAGCACACCAACTTTGCCTGGTGTGCTTTTTTGCATGTTGATGGACTTCAGTCTCTGGCATGACCAGTAATGGTTGGGGTTTCTAAAGTGTTGTAGTCTTAGAGCAGGGGAAGAAACTTATATAAACCCAACAAAAGATGCAGTATTTATTTATCAGTGGATATCTGAATTACAGACTTTGCTAGCAAGCATTTTTTAGATGTGGGAAAAACAATTTTGAGCCTTATGCTTATTTTTTTAAATGACACGTTTGTTTTCTTTTCAGTTTTGTTTGGCTATGCTACCACGGTTATTCCTCGTGTGTACACATACTATGTTTCAACGGCACTGTTTGCAATTTTTGGCATTCGGATGCTTCGGGAGGGCTTGAAAATGAGTCCAGATGAGGGTCAGGAAGAGCTGGAGGAAGTTCAAGCAGAAATTAAAAAGAAAGATGAGGAAGTAAGTCATAAGCTTTCTGTGAATTCTGGCTGATGAAACAGTTATAGCCATGAAGCTGCAGAATGGCACTGTCACGTTTGGGGTGTTCAGCTGTGTCTGCAGTTGATAATTTGACACAGAAAATGGGTAGTAAATGGGACAGAAGTGGGCCCTGGAGGCTGTTTCAGCAGGTGATTCCAGTTCCATGGCAAGCCTGGCTTCTCAGGAGAAAAGAGACTTTTTGTATAGGGTGGGGTGGGTGTTTTTATTTATTCCTTGATGCATTAGCAGAGAGGGCATGAACAGTTTACTCTTACCTCTACTTTCACTTCTTTTTATGGGCAGGCAGATGAATGCTGAGATTTGTAGTGTTGCAGCAAAGTCTCTGTTATAATAACTTTCTAAATACACTGGCCCATTTCTAAGCGGTAGTGTGGAGTATTAATCTTATTTCTTTTGAGTTTTGGGGTTTTTGTTTTCACTGATTTTACCAAATCCTAGTGTAAGAGCCACTGCTTGGGAAGAGGGAGATCCCAACAGGGGGAGATCTGTGGTTATAAACAATGTGTTATTCCTACTGAAACTGCTGTGTAAGCACAAGCAGTACAAGATAGACAATAACTGGAGGTTAGAGGTGATAAGTATATATATGTGCACACGTGTGTGTGCATACATGTAGCTAGTTTTTTAAATGGTGTCTAATATTGATAATGCAGTAGTCAGTGGCTAGTAACAGTCCAGATACTAAATGGGCAGCTTTACTGTTTTTCATTCATGTTGTTCAGATGATATTTCTAATCTTATGATTGATTGATTGGCTTTTTTTTCCCTTGCCTTCCACAGCTTCAGCGAACTAAACTGTTAAATGGGCCAGGAGATGTTGAATCAGGGCCAGGCACCACTATACCTCAGAAGAAGTGGCTCCATTTTATTTCTCCAATCTTTGTCCAAGCTTTTACTTTAACATTTTTAGCAGAATGGGGTGATCGTTCCCAATTAACAACCATAGTGTTGGCCGCCAGAGAGGTGAGTGTTGCAGAATGCTGCTGTTCTTTTTGCTCTCTTTGGGTTGTCCTCAGAGAAGTGGGAGAGACAAAATCCTCTTGTGGTAGGAGGTATCAGATTTTCACACCTACTGCCTTGCTGTGCCTTACTTAATGTTACAGCTGTGCCAGGACCTGAAAATAAAGGCACTGAAGCTCTGTATAGTATTAAAACTGTTATGTGACAGGGACTGTACAAACATTTCTGGAAATAGTTGGTTTTCTATCAGGCAGCTGAACACAATTGCTTTTTGTTAGTGTTGAGAGGTGTTACAGAACAGATGTTTCTTTGGTCTGTGTGGTTGTACATTTTAACACAGTAGCTTTCAAAAGAAAACTTTATCCCACCAAACTTAAAGCTAGACAAAAAATACCTCATCTTAAAAATATAAGTGAATATGGTACAGTATATAGAACTAAAATAAACCATAAACTGCCATGCAGTAGATAATACTGTAAATGAAATTGTATTCAGCATGATGATTGGAATGTATATTTAAGGAAAATTAAGGTTTATAGTCAACCTTTTAATAAACATAATTAGCTTACCTGGGCTCCTTCATGCATTAAGATAATTTGCATGGCTGCCCTAGGACTCACACTTCTTTCAATGTACTTCCAGACCTTTGCTAGGGATAAATCAGGACTGTGTAATGAAGGAGGCTATAATCTGAAGGAACCTCTAGTCTCTTTCGCAGTGTAGGGGAGGTGTTCAGTGCTAACAAGGCAGGGAACAACAGGATGAGAGGGTGATCTCATTGTTCAGTCAGTTACGTGCCGTCTTGGAAAATGAGGAATTGTTATTGCCTCTGGCCAGATTTTATGTACTGGTTAAGCCCATCTTTTCACAGGTGGTTCTTAACTTCCGGTTTGCACTTTCTGAGTGTTCCATTAGGGAGCATCCACCAGACTCTGTGGTGTCCTTTGTGAAGTGTCGAGCATTGCAACTAAAGAGTGGGATGTTGTGCCTTTAGCATGTGAAGTGTTTATATAAATGCTATAAAAACAAATACTACAAAAAAATGGCTTGAAGATATGTCTTGATCTTGGCTTTCAAAATCAGTGGATGATTATGGTCCAGATCTTTTTTCCATTTTATCTGTGGGACTGTTCTATATTCCCTTGTTTCATAATATATTCAGCTAAATCCTTATATGAGTACTTCACAGACACATAGCAGGAGCATTACAGAAATGCTTATGAGGAAATAAATTATATTTGAGCAGTGTGGTTAAGTCAGCTGTGACCATATATTCCTTAGAGAAAAGAAAAAAACCCAGACCTCTGTGACTGCTCATGGAGTAGTGTCTCTATCCTGTCACAACAAACAAAATGTAGCTCCTTTGGAGAAAAAAGGGTGATAATTTGGTTGTTTCAATGCATATACCAAGGGAATGAGTTAAATCTGTCTCCATGAATCAAGTCCTGACAGCAGTCCTGAAGAACTTGATTTTACACCTTATTAGTTTACTGTGTATAAGACTTGTTCTTTTGTTTAAGGATGTAGAAAAGGAAGCTCAGTAGCATCCTGCTAGACTGGCTTTGCTTCAGCTGCTGGATCTGAGCACACTTCTGCTTCTGGAGATTATGCCAAGGGAAAACTATTGGAGCTTGCTACCTGTCAGGGCATATGGGATATGGAGTGAGATCCACCCTTAGCTGAGGGGGCTGTACAGTTAGTTGAAAAGGAAGGGGGGGAGGGTTAGGAAATGGGGATTTCCAGGAATTTTGTCCCTGATCCTAGAGGCAGGTGTGTTGTGCTGGCACACCCCTGCTTCCAACCTGTCTGTTAGAGATTTCATGCATTCCTCATGTGATGGCAGCAGCTCTTTTTTTTTTCCCTCTTGGAGCTAAAGGTCTCATTAACAAATGTACAGGGGACCCAACGGTGCTTCCTTTCATTCATCTTTGTGTAGCAGAAAGTCATGCTTCTATCTTGCTTTTGCTGTCAGTTATTAAAAGACTCTTTTCTATGTCTGATGCTGAGGTCTTCTCTTTTATAAGCTGTTCAATATGTATGTGTAATTTGTAAGTGGATCTGAGAAAACTCTACACGTAGTAGGGTTCTTCATGTAGCTGCTTGCTGTGCAGTGATGTGAAAGCTGTTGCTGACAGTAAATTTGAAAACAGTTTATTACCCTCTGTACTTACATTCTTTTCTGCTTCCCTCTGTGGATGAGCGGGACAGGGGGACAGAGACTAGAACACAGGCCTCTGAAGCTGGACATGGGACATGGAATGTTTTAGCTGCTGAAAGCTTGAAAGCTTTCATTTCCAGCTCATGGATTTATTTTCCTTTATAGTGAGGTTGGTGTTCTTCCAGCTGATGCATGTTGTGTTTCTGAACAGCTGCCACCTTCCCTCCAGAGGTTGCGTAATTGTTTCAGTACAGCAGAGTGATTTCTGGATCTGTATTTAACTTGAAGATGCTTTTTGGTTGAAACATGCCATATGCTCCTGTATTAGTCAGGTTTAGGTTTAAGTCTGTCTCACTAGCTGATGTACACTGTGGCTGGTCTTTGAGGCAGCAATGGATAGCAGAGCAAACACCAGGGAGTCAGTCCTGCATACTTGACATTGTGCAACCAGGGAACCTAGATGTTGCTCCTTCATGGCAGGAGGTTGTCATAGGACCAGTGGGTTTTCAGCTATGCTAATGTTGCCCTCCTGTGTTTTTTCCTCAGGACCCCTATGGCGTGGCGGTGGGAGGCACAGTGGGGCATTGCCTGTGCACTGGTTTAGCAGTTATCGGAGGGAGAATGATAGCACAAAAAATATCGGTTAGGACTGGTAAGTGAAAGCTCACTCCTGTCAACAGTGCATTAATGTTGGTCGTGTCTGTGGTGTGATTCACTGTAAGTGCTTGGGAGCAGGGTTTCTCAAACCTTTTGGAAAACCCCAAAACTTCATTATCTTTTTTTTGGAGCCTGTGTATTCCATCCTGACTCCCTGTGCCCTGCCCCGTAGTGAGCTCCCCTTGCTGGGAGTGCCCAGCACTGTCCCCAAGGCTCCTGTCCCTCCTGCCAGGTAACGGCTGAGCCTGCACAGGATGGGTGCATCTGAGGGGTCCAGAATTAATTGAGCGTAACAGTTCACTGACTCTGATTTAAGTATTGTAGCTCCAGGTTTAAAGATGGGCACCGGTGAAGCGTGTTTTGCTTCCCTATTAGCTGGCTTGCAGGAGACCAGAGGAAGGAAATACAGTATTTTGGATAGTTGGTATTTATTATAGAATCATAGAATAGTTAGGGTTGGAAAGGACTTTAAGATCATCTAGTTCCAACGCCCCTGCCATGGGCAGGGACACCTCACACTAAACCATATCACCCAAGGCCTCGTCCTATTGTTCAACAGTGAAATTGTTACAATTGAGTGCAGACCTTCAGGTGAGCAAGACAACTGCGTAGTTACAAGTTATGCCAGCCATATAAAAAGCTTTAAAATCTACTCTGTGTGGCACAAATACTTGGGGTTTTTTTATCATACCTGCTGTCTGTAACAGGAATGACCAGTAAGGTTATTTTGGGTGGTTTTCCCTTAGATTAGGTTGCAGCTTGCTTCAGCTATCCATACTGTCATGTGGTGAGATTTCTTGCTCCCAGGAAAGATTCTGTGAAGCTGCTTCCTACAAAGGCTCATAGTGAATATTTGTTCTGCAGTTGCAGAGGTTGTTAAAAGCCAACTTCACCACAAAAAGTGGAACATGAATCCTGTGGTGTCTGTTTGCCAAGGAAATTGGTGACAAAATGCTAATCTCACAATCATTTAATATGCTCCTAATAAGCTCAGTGTGGATCTTTGGCCACAGGACTAGCCTTGTTAGGTTAGACAGAAGAGCTGCCTAGCCTGTTTGTTTAGAGAATAGTAGGAGAACGTGTACAGTGGGGCTTTTCTGGAATACTGTCCTACCCTCTATCTGATCGTGGCCATTGCAAACAGTAGATTTTATACTGTCTCTTTCAATATAGTTACCTGAACTGTACAAACCACCCTCATTAGTATGTTACCATTACCTGCTGGCTTCCTTCAGCATGAGAATATTGTATCTTATTTCCCCCCATACAGCCAAATATTCAGCAGGACGTGTCAACCTCAATTTTATACTAGCTAAAGTAATAAGAATAAATCAAAGTTTCCTTCCAACGACCAGAATATATTCTTGTAGATGCAGTTAGGCAGTGGGGTGGCATGTGGGCATCCTGACACGGAGCCGTAAAACAATGTCCATGATTTACAGCATGAATTCTAAACTAAGGTTATTTGGGAGTCTGGCATTGAAAAGAAATCTGTAATGTGTCATGGAAGATGTTTAACTCTCAGTTTCTAATCTCTTTTTGGTTTGCGTTTCTTTTCAGTGACAATCATAGGAGGCATTGTCTTCTTAGCATTTGCATTTTCTGCACTATTTATAAGTCCAGACTCTGGTTTTTAAACTTTTTCGTCACTGCAGAGGAACAAGGATTGGAAGCACCAAGCAGTGATCCTTGTGCATTTTTGTATATAATGTACAGAATTGTAGCTGAACAAGCACTGAAGATGAGACACTGAACTTTTTATAGCGAATGATTCATGGGACTGACACATTCATGGACAGCTTCTGCAGAGGAGATCTGCTTGTTGTCTGGTTTGTTTATTCTGTGGTGCCTGCTCCCCCGGTGGGATGTGTGTGGTTTTCTTGCTTGCTGGCCCTGGCACAGCTGAGATCTGAGGATCTACTCTGTGTTGAGGTTTCCCCTGTTGCACCCAGCCACCTTCCCTGTTTCTTCAAGAACTGATTCTTAAGGCTTCCTGAAACAGGCTGTGGCTTGTTCCATGTTGCTGAACAGAAGGCGTTAAGGAGCAAACTGCTGCTGGCTCCCACCTCCAAGGACTCTCTTTCCTGGGTGCACCAAGGCTGGATCATATAAGCCGGAAGAAACCTGGGAGCAGTTCCGATACCATTGAGTGGCTGAGCCACCAACAGAGAATTTTATAAACCTTACTTCAGAGGGAAAACTTCTTAATCAGGGATTTTTATCAGGAAATAGAAGTGTGGTAATTAACAACCTACCGTGGTCAATATGCAATCTGTCTGGCGTTAGTATTATTTGACTTTTGTATTTTATTTTGAAATATTAAAGTATATGAGAAGTAATAAAATGGTCCAGCTTAACAATGTTCCATTCCCAGGACTGAATGATAATGGAATTCTTAGGCTTAGATGTGTTCCTGGTTTTCTTTTTAGGAATAGAAATGTAATCTAAAAGAGTATTAATAAAATATAGTGTCTCTCTTTGAGCTATTTTCAGTATTGTTTTTGATGGTTCCTGTAATTCCTGCCACAAAGGTTTACCTTCAAGTGAGGAAAGTGTACTGTATTTATTTTGGATACTGATAAACACCACTGTTACAAAGGTTCTGAAAACGTTAAGCACTGAAGATGTGTGGGTTGCAGAAACACAGACTGACAGTGCTGGGCTTGTTCAGCCTGGAGAAGAGAAGGCTCCAGGGAGACCTTAGAGCTGTTCCCTGTGCCTGAAGGGAGCCTACAGGAAATCTGGAGAGGGACAACAGCATGAAGTTACAGGACAAGGGGGAATGGCTTTAAACTGACAGAGGGGAGATCTAGATTAGATATTGGGAAGAAATTCTTTACTGTGAGGGTGGTGAAGCCCTGGCACAGGTTGCCCTGGCACAGGTTGCCCAGGCAAGCTGTGGCTGCCGCAAACCTGGCAGCTTTCAAGGCCAGGTTGGATGGGGCTTTGAGCAATTTGGTCTAGTGTGAGGTGTCCCTGCCCATGGCAGGGGGTTGGAACTGGATGAGGTTTAAGGTCCCTTCCAGCCCAAACCCCTCTGTGATTCTATGGTTCCATGCTTTTCTCTGCTCTTCAGTGATGTGGATTCTGAGCTAACGGCCTAAATAACTCCCCAAGGTTCACTCAGCAGCACTCTTCTAAAACAGAAGATACGGTTTCTAACACTATGAATCTGCCTTTCATTGAAGCTGAAGTAATACGGAGCATTACAGATGTGACCTTTGCAGCTCACAAACTGAGCAGTCCCTAATCCACCGGAAGAACCCCTTAATGCCTCATTTCTCACACTCTGAAGGCTGCAGCAGTGCAATGCGTGTCATTCACAGTGGTGCACAAACAGGCTGCAGTTTCAGGCTCCAGGTCTGGATGTTCATGTCTTGGGCTGAAGGGAGGGTGCTGCTGGCAGGGCCCATGCTCATTACTGGGTGAGGCACTGCGCTGCTTTGGTGCTGTGGGTTGTGGGGTTGGGTTTTGGGTTTGTGCTTTTTATTGGTGGTTGGATTTCTTTTCTTTTGCGCCAAGCATTGTAGCCAGAAACTGCAGCCTTGTCTTTCCCACAGCTTGTAAACACATACTCTGCATCTGTTATATGTGCTTCTTATAGCTGCTTTGATAGGAGAACAATCGGGATCAACAGCAAAATGAAGCTATTTAATGTGGTGGCCATAGAGGTGAGTGTGAAGTTGCAGTGCAAATCTCTGTGGCTTCCAAGTTTATATTTTAGTTACATGTGATGTGAAGTGCTGCTTTCTACCAGTCATAGGAGTGTATTTGCTCTAGTTCTAGCTGGGCTGGAAGCGCTTAGTCTGAACAGTGGTCTCTTCTGCTTTTTAAAAGCACAAGCATCAACTTATCCTTGGAAATGCATTATAAAACTAGATGGCTCATGAAATCTTAGTGAAAGCTTTGAAAGGTGCTGTAGCAGTTGCTGCTAGTTACAGTGATTTAGTGTTGGCAAGTAGCTGCTGGAATGTTTCACGATGTGAGGAAGCTCACTGGGCTGTCACGGGTGTATCTTTAGCAGCCCTGTGTCTGCTGCACTGTCTCCAGCACAATAGGGGTCCTTCCACAGTATCTCAAGGCACTTGCACCCTTGTGTCTGGTTCAGGGGTCTGGATTTGAGCAGCTTTCATCATACATTATTCTTGTATTTCCTGTGCCTGGCATCAGGGAGGTGTGTGGCTCTGTTCTGTCTCAGAGTACCTGGGTACTCGAGATACAGGTAATGTCTTCAGGAGTGCCTGTGTACACATACATACGTGTGTGTATATATATATATGTCTATAGATACATAAAAAGTCCTACTCTTAAGGCTGAGTTTGCGTCAAAACCTTCCAGATTTTGTTAAAGCCTTTCCTCTGTCCATACTTTCCTCGAGGTAGCAGGTTGCAGTTGGAGCAGTTTACGTGTGCTGCTGGTGAGGTGATGTAAGCCTGCTTCCTAGAGCTGGAAGTCTGGAACACTGTGAGCTGTGTCACTGGTCCCTGGGCTGAGGTGTCCTGCACAGAATATGAGCAGCTCTGGCTGACACTGCAGTGACCTGTGAGAGCTGACAGCTTGTGTGCTGGCACTTGCGATGCTGATGCACACGAGCAGTCATCTCCCTGCCCTTCCTTTCCCCATGCTGTGCCCGAAGTGGAAGATGCCAGTCTATTAGTAAGAGAAACTTGTCTCTCTACTTCTTATATCCAGAGGTAAAGTGGGAACCATGGGGCATGTCTGAGGTAAGCAATTCAGTGGGCTTGTGTGCTTGCACCTTTATGTCACTTCTTCCTTCGAGATCCTCAGTAAGCTGAAATGTGCCTTAACAGGGGAGCTGGGCATATGGGAATGGGTTATTTTGTCTTCCCAGCAGCAGCTGGCTGTAGCACTGACTTCCTCTTTTCCAGGATGCTGTTGTCACTTGCCAACCTGCAGAAGCATTAAGCCAGTGCGTTAAAGCCCCCGGGCTGAGCGGAACCTGTGTGTGGTCAGACCAGAGGAGGTGGGGTGTTCATAGAGATGCTCCAGGCATGAAGTGTCACCTGAGGGAAGCATTCAGTGCTTCTGGCTGCCTCAGCTTGCTCATGTGGACAAAACACAGCTGTACCTGTAGCTCAGTCTGTGGCAGCAGCATCTGTGTGGCTCTTGAGGGGGCTGGAGGAGCAATGTGCAGGGCTGGGAACTGCCAGGTCTCAAGGTTCCAGCCCACAGAGCAGGCTTGATGCTGTGCTGATGGGGCTTTATAACTGTTTCTGTCACAAGGCACTGCACACAGCCCCTTCCTAGATAGTGGTACCTCTGGGAAAGGCTGGGGCCTGGCTTTTCAGGAAGAAACCACGTAAATGAGAGTGCTCTTTCCCTTCTAAACAGAGGCTGTTTTGGGGGTTGCCTTGCGTTTTAGAGTATGAAACAAACAAGGTACCCAGATGAAGTTTTAATTGCACAGCTCTGTGCCATTTCTTGTTCCTTTGTAGCTGGAGAATGTGAGATACAGCAAGCCAGTGTTTGAGTGTGGAGGGGAAGGCTCTGCAAACCACTGCATGTGCAGCATGGGAATCGGGCAGCTGCCCCCCAGCTTCCTGTCCATCCGGCTGCTCTCCCTGTGGGAATGAGATTCAGCTGATTCCAGTTGTGGCCACAGGGGCTTCAAAAGCAGCATCTAAAGCAGGAATGTGCAGCTCTGACAGCAGCTGCACTCAGCAGGAGCTGAACAGTGCTGCTGCCTTCAACTACTCATTTCCAGGCAACAGGAACAAGATGGAGATGAGTCAGTTCTACTGGGGTGAAAAAACTTCACCTCAACCGAGATGTTTAAAATGAGAGAAGCTTGTGCTTTACTTTGTAAGGTGCTTCTATCCAACCCTTAGGTGAAGCCTGTCTCATTGCACTGCATGTGTGCAGGAAGTGAAGACTGAGGCGAACTGCTCATCTCTTGTGCTGCCAGGATAAAGTTGTTCAGAGGACATGTTGGTGAATGCAAGCACAGGTCCTGCTCTCCCTGGGGCAATGAAACCAGGAATGTGTATGGGGCAGTGTACGGAGCCTTGCTGCTCAGGTACCAAGCCTGGAAACATGGAGGTTCTCGAGGGGCTGCATTCAGCCTGTGCTATGAGAGGCCCCAGGGCATTACAGCTTGTCCATGCGAGCGGTTTTACAACACCCGCTTAGAAAGGGGTTGGTGGCTGAGCAGAAGCATCTCTAATTCTGAATGAGGCTCAGGCAATTTCAGCCTCATAACCCAAGTCATCCTTAATGCCCAGAGCCATGGAAAGGGTGATGTAACGGCACTCGTGAACTGACGTGGCATTTTTCCACGGATGACCTGTGAGACCCTGCAGTCAGCACCCTGAGCAAGGTACAGCTATGGGCGCTCGCTAAGGTAGGTACAGGTTACATTTAAGCTGTAATGTCTTCCACCTCTATGTGGTTTGTACTATAACTGTACATTTCTTCTGGATTACTTAATGTACTCCCCAGGTGAAAATGCAGTCACCAGAGGGTCTGACAGTGATGGAGACCGTACTACAGGGAGTGCTAGGAACAGTGTGGAAATCTTTGCTGTTACAGGTTACCCTTGAACAGCTGAAATCTTCTGGAATTCCATCACTAATGGCCAACACTCAGAAGTGCAGCTCACTTTTGGATTGCTAATCTTTACAAGTACTTAATCCTTGCACTTTCATATAAGCGTGGGTTTTGTTTCGAAGTCTGCACGACAGCAAAACGCCATTGAACAGCATTGCTCCAGGTGTGGCAGCAGTTCCAATTACAGCTGCTCTTGATGACTTTATGGAAAGCTGTAGTGGGGTTTCCAAAGTTCAGTTTTAAGCAAGCTGATAATCTTGCTGGCCACACGGTATCAGCCTTATCGCTGGTGGGTGCTGACAGGCTTTAAGTACAGCACTGCTGTAGCCCATTGTTTTTTGACTCCGGGGATCCAGGTGGCTTGTACATGTACAAGTAATGTACAACTTGCACAGGTACTGATTTCTAAAGGCAAAAGATCAGTATCTTCACATGGACACCCTGTGTGGTACCACAGGAACAAAAGAAATGCAGACCTTAAAAATGGGTGTTTTTATCATCTCCTCCAGGCATTCAGCTTCAGGTACAGGATTTCCCTCCCACCTTTCCTTGAGCATTTAATTAATGTCATATTATTAATGTGTACACTTGTATCAGTGCAAAAGGACTGTGGAGACAGGGTTAGCCCACACGGAGAGGTTACGTGTCATCAGCCAGCTCTTTCAAGGGAGCACTGATGCTCTGAAGCTGTGTTCCCAGCTAAATGTCTCTGCTTCCTTTTCAGGTGGCACAGCTGGTGTTTCAGATCATAGCTACACCTTTAAGTTACTGTTCTTGGTAATTCCCCAACAGAAGAAATGCCCAGGGAGGGAAGCTAGAAGAACTAAAGGAGGATGTTGTGCCCATGCCAGGCAGTGAGGGAAGGGCCATGCTGGATAAAACCCTCATGCACATGCCAAGGCCCTGCAGCACTCT